CCCCGATCCCGCAGACTGACCACAAGCTGGGCCTATCAGGAGAGCACTCCTTCCTGGGCCTTGCTGATTGGCCCAGGGATCTGCTCCTGAGCCCAGCGGGGCCAATCAGAGCCCTTCATGGGATTATTGACTCAGATCTGAAATGGTGAGGCTTGGTTCATCCTGCAGGCGGCCAGGCTGCGAAAAGTAAAACTGGGTCTTGCCATTGGCTTTGGTGGAGGGGGTGGGTCTGCGAGCCTACCCCGCAGGCGAGGACGCGGGAGAGTGTCTGCGCAGCATGTGTTCCAGGGCCCAGCCCCCGTCGAAGCCCAACCAGCTGTTTCCCTTCCCCAACCCCATTCCATATACTATATACACCCATTGTCCCGTCTGCCCGATCACAGGAGAGAGTTCTCTAATCATTTGCCACCAAAAGACTCCTAAGAAAACAGGCAGGGTTAACCGCATGGGCTCTGGCCTCACTAGCGTTGGTCTGAACCCCACTTTTAGCTGTGTACCCCAGGCAAACTAATTAACCTCTCTGGTTGCCAAATCCCTCCTCTGAAAACCGCCATCAGTAATCTTTGAGGATGAAATGAATTGCTACTTAGCGAACGCGGGATCAGGGCATGGCAGCCATGGTGGAAGCTCCAGCTGGCAGCGGCAAATGGGAATTCCAGGTCGGGGTCAATGTGGGCGTGGGCGGTGCGTGCCTGGCTCCTGCCACGCCCACCTGCCAGGCCTCCTGGACACCCGCGGTCCTTTGGGAGAGAGGGACCCTGCAGAAATCATAAGCTCAGAAAGTAATGAAATGCTGAAGCCGCTATTTATTGAGCACCTATTTTTTGCCAGGCTCTGTGCTGGGCATTGATTTTTAGGACAGTACAGACCTCTGCTTAGGACTTGAAAGGCCCCAAAAGGCGTGAAAGTCACCTCCCATCCTCCAAGAAGCCCATCTGGGGAGAGGAACCAAGTGCTTTGGAGAACAGGGAACACGCTTCTCATAGCAGCGGCTCTGAGACTGTCCTCAGCTGGGGAAAGGAACCTACGCAGCTGGGCCCCCATCATGTGCTGCACACCTACAGGTGCTTTGCAGGCTCCCTCTCACCAACCTGTCACACCAACAAGGTGGGAACTATCACCCCACTCTGAGTTTCAGAAACTGGGGCTCATGAGGTGCCTCGCCCAAGGGCACTGAGGCTAAGTGGCAGATCCAGGACAAGAACACAAATCTTTGTGGACTTCAAATTCCACACCTCACTGAATATCCCAACTGTCTTGGGAGGCAGATTCAGTTCCTTTTTCTCTCTACACAAATGGACTCCCAGCTGCCGTGGAGAAACGCTTCACACCGGCCCAGAGCTGCAGCTTGGGCTTATACTTGGCACCTGTCAAATGAACCACTGAGGATGCCTGAAATCCTACACAGAAGTAAACATTCAACACCAGAAAGAAGCAAAAGGCCTCGTAGCAAGCAGAGCCATAACCCTGAGCCCCACATGACGGTCCTGTGCACACTTCACCCCACAACAGCCCTGTAAGGCTGGTCTATGGTTATACCCATTGTACAGATGAAAGAACTGAGGTCTGGATGGATCGATACATTCCTGCGGCTCAGAAGTGGTGGTGCCAGGATCTGAACCAGGCCTTTCTGTGTTTCTCGAGCTCACACTCCGCTCAGCTCACCCCGCTGCTTCCTGTTTATTCGCATGCTGTTAAGAAGCACAGCCAGGGTCTCCCTCGAGGTGAGGCCCTTGCTTGCGAGAAAGATCTGCTGAGCAATCAATTCTCTTGTGCCCTCCTGAGTTGCATAAGGATGGGGGAGGGGATGCCTCCAGGGGCCCAGTTGGGTCCCAGGAAGCTGGGGAGTCAGAGAGGCCTCCTCCAGGCAGGGGAAGGAGTGTTTTCCTAAACAGAAAAACAGGCCCCAGCAGGCGTCACCCCAAGGCTCCGGGGCTGGTGACAACTGTGTCGAGTCACACAGTCAACTCTCCCTGAACTATTTTCCTTTGTAATTGCCTTTCTGATTTTGTCGATTGCCTGTGCCAAGTCATTTGGAAACCAGATGCACCCGTCTGCTTCCACCCTGCCTCTGCTGGACCTGCGGCGGGATTCTGGAGCCTGACCGGCACCTCAGCGCCCTCCAGGGCTCGGGGGGACAGCATGGGAAATGAGAGCCCCACGGGCCGTGTCTCAGCCCCTGGCTGCCGGGGCTCTCCCTCCATCCCTGTCCCCACCCCCAGGCTGGTCCTGACGCAGGTTTTCTGTGCTCTGCCTCCGCTGGGTGATCAGTTCTCCAAGGCTAAGCCTTGGATTCCCCAGGGCACATGAGACTGCCTCTGCCCCTGGGGCCTCGCGCTCCCTGACCGAGCCCCGCCCCGGCTGCCCACGCTCTACCCTTGACTGACTCAGGCCACTGGCAGCTGGGGCATCGGGAAGACCAAACTCTGCTGCTTCCTCCCTGAGTCCAACCTTGACCTTGAGCATCTTATTTCACCGTGGCCCCCGTGGCCCGGCCTGTGCTGGGTAACGTGCGCATGCACACCCACACGCGCACACACCCTGGAGTGCTGACAACATGCGGTGTCGCCTAGGAAGTGTCTTTTCTAACAGCAAGAGCTTTGTAAATCCAATGAATGCGTGTTGTTACTTTTAGTATCACTCCCCCCAAAATACCGTTTCTCACTTCCATGCCCCTGCCCACCAGGCCCCCTTCCCGGGCTGCCCGGCCCAACCTGGTTTACCCAGCAGATACCTGCCTGCTTTTCACAGCTCAGCTCGAACTCCTCTCTCACCAAAGCCCCTTCTGCCCCCGAGCCCTGGCCCTTCGCGCGCGCTCCTGCCCCAGCTGCCGCCCTGGGCCCGAGGAGGACCGGGGCCTCGTCCCCGCCAGAGCCCAGCACAGGGCTCGGCACGCCAGACACGGGAGCCTACCGCACACTGGTGTCCTTGTCCCCGGTGTCACAACTGTCTGAGGGAGGCTTTGTATCGTCCCATTTTACAGATGAGGAAATAGATGGGCAGCAGATTAAGTGACTTATCCAAGGTCACACAGAGCTAGAAGCTGACTTGGGACTTGAACTCAGGTCGCTCGGATCCAGAGTGTCCGCTCTTAACCTCTCCAGCTCCGAGAGGGAACGAGGAGGAGGAACAGTGGCCTCGGGACACAGAGCAGGGTGTGGCTCTGCTCAGGCTGAGGCGAGGGGCCCTCTCTCACTGCTGTTTGGGACAGACCCACCCTCGGGACCTCTGAGCACTTCTAACAAGCTCCCAGGGAACATGGCGCCTTTCACAGCTCAGCAGCCGCGCTCTGGGCAGCGAGGGTGAGGGTCTGGAGCAGTGGCTCTCCCAGTGGGGCTCCCCAGACCAGCAGCCTTAGCGGGGAGCTGGGAGAGTTGCAAGTGGGTGGTCCCGTCCCAGAACGGCCGCGTCAGAAACCCTGGCAACTACGCCCAGCAAATCGAGCCCCCAGGGGACTGAGAAGCGCTAAATGCAAGGACAGGCCCGTCTTGCACCCATCTGGTAAGGCCCAGCCCCACCCTAAGCCATGAAGGTAAGCACGGGAGACGTGCGCAAGTGGGCCGGTGGGCCCGCAGCCAGCCCGGCCCGGCGTCAGCCGGCTCTGCCTTCCTGCGCTGTGACCCACGGCAGGCCCTCGCCCTCTCTGGGCTTCAGAGTCCTCCTGCTGCTGAGCCTGCGCCACTTCTGTTCCACCCCCGTGGCTGTCCCTGCAGTTCTCAACCACAGGGACCCCACGGCGGGGCAGGGCCCTGGGGACATAAGGGAGACGCTCCCGATGGAGACGAAGGCCACCGCTAGAGGAGGTCTAACGGTGACACTTCTATGTTGGAAGGATGGGTGGACAGATGGAGGGACCACGTTCTATCAGAGGAGGATGTTAATAGGAAATGAAATTAAATGTAGTCCAGCTGATACCCAAGAGCACCACCTCCCCAAGCCCCCTCTGTCTGCGCGCCTGCCGGCGGCGCGCACGCCGAGGCTCCCAGGAGGACGACCGGGCCGACGTCAGCACCGCGAGACAGGGGCACGTTCCGGCTTCCCCCTTTAAACCTTCCCGTACGGAGGGGATTTTGTATAATGAGCATTATTGTTTTTCATCAAACGATAAAAACCGTTACTTAAAAATAGCTTTACAGGTCTATTATTTAGCAACGCAGAAGCCGAACGAGACGAGGTCAACGCGATCACCTCGGGTGGATGGGGACAGGGGCGGTGGGAGCCCAGGGCACGTGTGTGTTTTGTTGGTTAAAAAAATTATTACAGGGAGAGATTCTGACAGGACTAGACCAGGGATGAACCTTGAGGACACTGTGCTGAGATAAACCAGCCACCAAAGGACGGATGCTGCCACTGGCAGAGGCCTAGAGTTGTCCCCTTCAGAGACAGAGGGAGGAAGGAGGGTGCCGGGGCTGGGGGGGGGGGGGAGAGGGCACCGGCTTGGGACGAGGAAAGTCACGTTCCTGGAGGTGACTCGACAGGGCGAATGTGCCGAATGCCACTGACCTGTCTACTTAACAACGGTTACGGTGATAAAGCTCCCGTTATGGGTATTCTGCCACAGTTAAAAAAAGACGACCCAGAGAGAGAGGAGACAAAACAAAGTAAAGTTCCAACATGTGCCCTGAGGTACAGTTTCCTCTCTGGGCAAGGACGCAGGCCTGGCCCGCCCTCCGTCCCTCTCACTGAATCCTCTCCAGTGGAAACAACGGCAAAGGGATGGATGGATGGGCCAGCGCCGCCCCTGAGGCCCGTGGGCACTAGGAGGCTGAGCATCCCTTACCTCTACGCACCAGACGCAGTCTCTCCCCTCGTTGTGGCAACTGTAGATGTCCCTGGGGGACAAAATCCCCCTCCGCCGAGAGCCCAAGGGAACTGGGCGTGGAGGAGGGCGGCCACAGCAGGGGGGCTCCGACCCTCGGCCCCTTCTGCCCGCAGAGGCCAAGGCGACGCCCTCAGGCAGACACACCCTGCCCCTCCCCCATGCCAGCAGCCGCCCTTACCCAGCCTGATGTCGCCCTCGAGGGTCATCAGCACGTTGCCAGCCTTCAGGTCCCGGTGGATGACCTTCTTGCCGTGCAGGAAGTTGAGGGCTTCGAGCATCTGGCGACAAACGACCTGAATCTGGGGCTCGGTGAGGCCTCGGTCCAGCTCTGGAAACAGAGAGAACTGTTGTCGATTCAGCAGGTGCTCGCTGCAGGCGACCTGATGTCAGGCGCAGAGCAGGTGCCAGAGACACAGAAGCCGCCGACATTACCGAGCCCTTTCTGTGCACCAGGCTCACTTCCAAGCACCTCACCTGTTACCTCCTTCCTCCTCTCAGCAGCCTTATGGAGCAGGCACACGCATGACCCCATTCTACAGATGACAAAACTGAGGCTCAGAAAGGTCGGTCACTTGCTCAAGGTCACACAGACAGCAAGTCACAGATCTGGGATTCAAACCGGCCAGTCTGGCCTCAGAGCTCGGGTCTGTAATCACGTCCCTTTTGAGAAGCAGAGATGGTTCTGTGAGCAGGACTGAGTGACGCTGACCCTGTGTCAGGCTCCGGGCTCAGCGCGGGGACACAGGAGGGGCATGGGAACGGTGAGCCATGCTGGCACAGGGCAGGGTTCGGGTGCACAGAGGGGCAGGGTGGGTGGCAGCCCCTCCTCTTAGGGAATGGGCAGACCTCCAGAGGACAGGACATTCCAGTTGCGTCTCGAAAGGAGAGGGGCTGTGTGAGAGGAGGAAAGGCCATTCCGGTCAAGGACCCTGCCGGAGGGAAGGCCCGGAGGCCCACAGGAGCTGCTGGCGACGGAGGAGCTGGAGGTGTGGAGGGTGAAACTGAGTTCTTCTGACAACCTCTGTAAAAACTCCTAGATCAAGCTGTGCCTGAAGCCACCCTCTTGGACTTTTCAGTTATTTGTGCCAATTTTCCCTTCCACCACCTATTTTTACCCTTAACCCAGTTTGAATAGCCTCCTTACAACCTAGAGAGTCTCAACTCACACCAGACCACCATTTTTATTTTGGTAGGTTCTGCTCAGAACAATAAAAAGCTGCAAAGGCAGCCTCTGCTGAGAGGAGGCCACGTCGTAATGCCCATATCCTGTCCCCTACCGTCCTTTGCCTACATGGGGACTCGGGGGTGGCAAGGGGCGCAGCAAGGAAGGCCAGCACTTCCCTGGCTCAGGGTGGGGAACGGCTGCCACAAATCGGAGACACTCCTGAGATAAACTCAGAGAAGGTACCTTCTTCACAGTAGAAAAAAGAGGCTGAATGGTGCCGCATTATACGGAAGGCCTCTCCTCTCCTGAGCCACCCCAGAGTCTTGGACACGCCACGTACCCTCCTGGGGTCCCAGACCCTCACTCAGCCTCTGCTCGCTCCCCGTGCGCCAGGTCGGCAAACGCAGGGGGGCACGTGGGGAGGGAACAGTCAGGAGCCGGGCCCCTAGACCTGGGCGCACAGCTCAGCTCTGCTGCGTGACTCAGCCGGCTCCCTAAGCTCTGCCATGTCGGTCGGGTCGAGAAAACACAGCGACTCCTGATTTTATACACGGGGATAACATATGTGAAAGCAGCTACCGCCACCTCTGCTTTCTATGTATTTATTTTTTGCATATATATAGTGGCTATTCCCAAACCACGGTGATTAGTACGTACGTATATTGTTGTTATTGCTCAAGCTTGCCGGGGACTTCATGACAACACCCCCATTAGGCACTTACAAAATGGGTGGGGTCCCCACTTCTCAAAGGCCCTCCCTCAGGTGTCCCTTCCACCTCCTACGAGTGCTACGGGCTTGGGCAAAGGAGTCATGGCGTCTGTCTTATGACCAAGAAGGCTTAAGGGCTCAGGGGACCAGCTCAAGGACACAGGGATTTTTGAACAGGATGTGTTGGTCTTCCCACGGGGGTCATGCCTTCTCTCCAAGAACCCAACCCCTGCTCCCCGCAGGAACAGAGTGAGGAGGTGCCCAGAGACCGGGGGAGCTACTGGGGGCGGGGAGTGAAGGACACCATCCCTGGATGGAGTGGACCCCGCTGACCCCGTGCCGGACCAAGGCAGACTCACCCAGCATGATGGCGTCCACAGCTCCCCCAGGACAGAACTCGATCATGATCTGCAGAAAACACAGTACTGATGAGCCCGCGCCCCCTGAGATGGGGAGACCCCTGGCCTCACTGGCGGCCCCCCCTCCTCCCGCCCTGGGGCCTGAGCAGTCCGCACTGTCTCCACCCCGAACCCTCGCAGGGGGCTCTAACACCCAGAGGGGCTGCTCGGGTACTTCAGTTTTCAGAAAAAGAAAAACCCAGCTGCCATGATACCTGCAGGCTCAGCCAACAGCCTTTTCAGCCAGGAGCGCGCACTCTCCCTTTCCCCTCAGGCCTGTCCTGCTCACCTGTCCCCGCCTGCCCGCTGCCCCCTTTCTGGGCTCCACAGCCGGGGGCCTCAGAGGATACCACATGTACAACCCCTCCAAGTCGTCCTGGAATCCCGGCCCCTGTCTCCTACCTCCCTCCACCTCCCAGGGCCTCGGGCCAGGCAGCCTCGCCCGGGCCTTGAAAAGCAGCTCAGGTGGAGAAACCGCAGCCCAGAAGGGGATGGGACTGACCACGGACAGACAGTCCAGTGGCAGGTCCCAGGCTAGAAAGCAGGCTTCCTAACCCTCCAGTCATTTAGGCAAGTATTCGGTACTTCATTCACTCATTCGGTACTTCATCGTTCATTCAGCCATGCAGTCAACGCGCACCTGCCACACACCCACTGGCAGCAGGCCCTGGGGGGGCCACCAGGCCCAGGCCCTCAAGGGGCTCCCAGTCCAGGGCAGGGGACTGGAAAGGACATCAGAGGAAAAAGTGTCCCGAGTACCGACACAGGCCCACCCCCTCCGGGCTCATACGTGCAAACGTGCTTTCTCCTTTTCCCTTATAAAGTAGGACTCAGGCGGGAAAGATGGAAAGTAACACAGACCTCAAGGCACTCCCAGAATCCCCCGCGCCACCTGCAGCCCCTGGCCCCGGCCGGTTGGGAAGCCCCGCCAACCAAGGGGCTGACGCACGGCCCGCGGGCAGCCAGAAGGGCCAACCCTCCCTTCTCCAAAGGGGGCAGCTTCAAGGAAGAGGTGGGAGGCTTGAGCCCACGTCTCGGCAGTGCCACTCAACGGGCAGTGCGACCTTGGGTAAGCCACTCGACCTCCCCAATCTCCTCATCTGTGAAATGGAACTCATCACTTCTACCTCCGATGTCACCGAGACAGTTAAGTGAAAGCCACACCAGTCTGTATGTGCTTGTCAAACCTCTAGCAAAGGACGTCACCCAACAGCATCCCGCTCAGGTGAGGTTCCTCGGGCTTCCAAGAGACGCACCTTCCGAGAACTGGTTTGTCGGCACAGCTGCAGTGGCTATCGAGGGTCAGCATGAGCACTGATCAAAGCCAGGGGCCCCGGCCTCGTTCAGTGAGGCTGAGCCTTACGCCATGCCCTCACCAAGGCCCCGTGGCCCCTCGTCCCCAAGTTCAGCGCCAGGAGAGCACGAGCGCCCCACCAGCGCGTCTGCGTCCCTTCCAGGGACTCGAGAGCTCCAGGGCCCCTGCACTTCCTTTTTTATTTATTTTTATTTTTATTTTTATTTTTTTGCCTTGGCTGCTGGGAAGCCCTGAGCTTAGTTTTGGTTTTACTACCGTGAATACATGCACCAACTCTTGGTTCCAGGCCAGGGTTAAACCCACGATACGTCACAGTTCGTGTGTGGACGTCACCGAAGTGCTTTTAGGAAATCAGCGTCCTCTCACCACACGTAGGAAGTGGGAAGCTTTTTGGGACAGAGTGGCCCTCGGTGACAACCCGAGCGCGGGCAGAGTGGCAGTCCCTCTGCCTTCCTGTCACTGTAGCCCAGCAAAAACGGTTTGGTTTCTCCTCTCTTTTTTTGAAAGTGGTTTTTTTTTTTACTCCTCCTTTCAGTTTTAAGTGTCTCACATCTTTGTGTCTTGTGTACGATGCAAAAAAACAAGAGAGAGAGAGAGAGAGAGAGAGAGAGAAACAAAAACCATGACCCTTTCCATGGCTTGGTTCTTACCAGGCCCGTTTCGTGCATCTTAACGCTTTCCTGCCAGCTGCTCAGTGGCAGGGCGGCAGGGGGCTCTTACAGACATGCAGGGGGTTTAATTAACAAAATAAAAATCTTGAAAATAAAACAATAAAAACAAAATTATCATCTTAACACCTTCGGAAGTCACTAAGTACGCATGCTCAGGAAAGAGAGAGGAGACAACACAGGCGTCGATGCCCCGGGGAGGGTCAGAGGCGGCCGTACTGGCATTTTCCACGTTTTGGTCAACGCGTGTGTATCACAGAGTTTCATGCACTGCACATGCCTGTCTCTGAGCCCGCCTGCGATGAAAGCCCCGGTCGGCCTGCGCCCCCGCCGTCACGGGATGAGAGGGGGCTCCTGGGGATCGAGGCTCCTGGGAGCAAAGCCCGGGGCCCCTGCGCCCCCCGCAGGCCCCGACCCCAACAGCTCCCTGTCCCAAAGACCGACTCCTTGAACCAGTCACAGGCTCCTCCTTCGTGCGCCCTCAAGAGGGCGGCGAGCAGGTTCTGGCTCAGGGTTTTCGCAGGACCTGGAGAAGCGATCAGTTCAACCCATGGGCAATTATCAACCGAGGGTCCAGCAGGGGCCCCCTATTGCTCGGCTCGGTGGGGGACTATGAACGTAGCATTCGATCTGTGAACAGTATCTGGGCTCCTGGTCTGTGACAAGGCTAGGGACTGGCGACCTAGGACAAATCAGACAGGTCGCTGCTCCAAGGCCACAGCAGAGGCAGATACAGAGGTGAGAGGTAGGGGCACATGGAGACGGCATTACCCAGAAGCCTGCGGCGGACGTGGCGCACGGGCCTGGAGCTACCCTGGAGGGCTTCCCAGAGGAGGAGATGCCCGGCTGGTTTTGGACGGGCACGTTTAGCAAGTGAAGAAAGACAACGCCGTTCTAGGCAGAATGCAGCAAGCGCGGAGGCAGGGCTGCCAGGAACGGTGCAGGAAGGGGGCTGGTGCAGTGGCTCCGGGGGCGCAAAGGGTGGGACGGGCGCAGGCCGGGAGGGTGAGCTGGAGCTGGAACATCGCACAGCCTGAACGTCACCCTGAGAGCTCAGCGTGTGTGTCCGGGGAGAGGCCCCAAGGGGTTTTTTGCTTTTTTAATTGATTTTAGAGAGAGAGGAAGGGAGAGAGGGGGAGAGAGGGGAAGTGAGAGAGAGAGAGAGAAACATCAATTTGTTGTTCCACTTATTGATACATTCATTGGTTGCTTCTTGTATGTACCCTGACTGGAGATCGAACCTGCAACCTTGGTATATCAGGGTGACACTCTAAGTCACTGAGCTACCCAGCCAGAGCCACCGAAGGGTCTTAACAAGAGCGTAGCAGACAGGTTTCTGCTTCAGGGAGATCCCCCTGGGTGTTACCTCTGGAGGCCAGAAAAGCCGGGACTCAGTGGAGTGGGGCAAACAGCAAAAGGGCTGTTCGACCGGGTCCTGGAGCCGCGGGCATCCCAGCCGCCTTCACCCTGCACACACAGCGTCTCCTCCCTCCCCTTCCTGAAACAGCTGTAAGAGCTGGATGGGACTCATCTCATCCTGGCGGGAAAGGAGCGCCTAAACCTCTCAAGGCAATTCTCTGCGTCTCGCCTGGAAGGTTGGTTCAGGGCTGGTCTAATCAGAGCAGAGCTGGTGAGTTCTGCTGGATGTTGTGGGATGCCGTGCCGCCTCCCTCTAGGGGAGATTAGAAGCACACAGCCCTGCCGGTTGCAGGCAGCCTCTTTGCAGCCATTTGGAAGACAGTGTGCAGACAAACCTGATACAAAGAGGGCAGAGAAAATGACAGTGTGTCCGAGCCCCGCTCCTGCTCCCCTCACACCTGACCGCCCTCTGGACTCTTCAAATAGGACACACAAGCCAATGAATGCCTTCCGTGGGTTAGGTTGAGTGTGAGTTGATACTTTTTGTTGCTTGTTACAGAAAGTACCTGACCTCCCATTTGGCAAGAGATAAAGGGGCTGAATTGGGGCACTGAGACAGGAGGGCAAGGACGCCACCCCGCTGGGCAAGTAAGAGTTTCCTAGGAATCTCTAGGTGGGACCAGCTAAACACACAGCAGCAGGGGCTCTGAAACCTGAGCAGGCGTCACCAGGCAGCTGGAGAGCTGGCTGAGACACAGACACAGGCCCCACCCCATCTCCAGCTCCGTAGGTCTGGGGTGAAGGCCAAGCATCTTCATTTCTAACAAAGGACCCAGGGAGGCCGCTGCGGGTCCCCAGACCAAACTTTGAGAACCGCTGCACAACAGGAATCCACGAAAGTGCAAGAGGCCTGGACTCCAGGGTCCCACCTCTCCTCCCCCAAACACACACGTAACATGGGACGGGCGTGGAGAAGTCCTGGGGACAAGCTGGCAGCATGAGCGTCTCTTTCATGCCGCCTGTGAACCTGAACTTCCTCATCAGTGTTCCGCTGCCTCCTGGCCTCCGAGCAGCGAGCAGGGGCCTGAGGAGGAGGCGAGAGCCTTTCCCGAGCGGAGGGTGAGAAGTGTTGGGTGTGGGCAGAGATGCGTTAGGGGTCTGCGTTATGGTCAGGTTGGACCAGATGGAGTTTTTCAATGAGTATTTTGAAAAAATAACGAGGCAAGTGGGCCTGAGCTTGGACAGGTAAGGGAGGCGCTTGCTTCTTCTGGGCCCTCGTTGGACCCGTGCGCGCCACACAACTGGCCTCCCGTCTCCGCCCCACGAGCTCTGTCTCCCCGGAGACCTGGGCCCGTACACACGCTCGGACGTGCCCAGCGGGGCTGGACAGCAGCCTGTGCTCGCGGGTTTCCTCTCTGGCTGGGGCCAAAGGAAACTGGAAACCCATGTTTACCTCCATGCGCATCAGTTTAGACTACGCAGCTGTCACGAAGCAGCACAAGGGTCCGGGCCTGGCCTCGTGATCCTGGGAGGCCGCAGCACCTCTCCGACCCTTCATTCACTCATTTACTCACTGACTCACTCATGGACTTAACGGGCACCCAGGAAATAGCGCTGCAGCTGGGCGGGCCCAGCTGCTCCATTCAAAAAGCGTTCCCTCCCCTCTGG